GCCGGGGACCTCCTCTGTCGCCTTCTCACTCCCGTGCCCTCCTTGATAGGAGGGCTATGCGGCTAGCTTGTCCTTTTTTCTCAGACCCTCTCATATAATTTGGATTATTGAATGAGTTACTACTCAAATTCCCCCAGGGCCTGGGCGTTTATTTATTTATTTATTTTAGAATTTGAAAGGAAAACCGAAGGGAACTTAACGCCCCTCCGGGCAGAAGAGGGCAGCGCGGGAGAGACGGAAGGAAAGTCCCTCTTGCTGCGGCAACTTTCTGGCCCGCCCCGCTGCGGCGCGCGGGGGCCACACGCCACCCCGCGCAGGAGCCCGACCTGAGCAGTGGGGAGCTGATCCAAAGCGATGGATGTCGATATTGGTGGTGATATATATTGTTTTATTTATCATTCTCTTTTCTCTTGGGAGGAATGAATTTGAGGCTTTAGGGCCCCAGGCTGAGGATTCTTAAACTCTCGCTGGCCGAACTCCGAGAAGCCAACCGGCAGATCCTCCCCCGCCTCTCACCCCTGGCTGCCCCGGGGCATCAGACTGAGTTAGGAAGTGATGAAAAGGGCTGAATTGTTTTCTAATTGAAAATACTTTTTTTTTTGTGACCGGGTTGACAAATATCTGGGATTCCGGCTTTTGATCCCTCGCTGCCGCCTCCTTTCTCCAATCGCTAATAAAACTCACATTGAGCCCCTTAGTGCCTTGATTAACAGGCAGATTAACTCTTACTGGCGTGGGGAACAGCTTGTCCCAATCAATGTCATTTTAAAAGCCGGTCAGGATATGCTTAGGTCGGCTTCCCTGGCTGCTCCAGCGAACCAGCCATGACATTTGCTCCCTCCTTCTTGCCTTGCCTCAAATTCCCTGCTAAACCCCCAGTTCCCAGCCCCAGATCCCTGCTTGCTTTAGGACAAACTGCAGGACCCAATCCCTGGCTTTTAAAACAAGCAGCTGTTTAGAGAGGGGATTTCCAGGAAGAAGGGACTGAGGTGGCCTTGGCTTGCTTTTCGTTTGAAGCTGAACGCTTGTCTCTTGATGGCGGAGGTTACAGGGAAAGGAGAGATAGGGAACTGTCCCAGGTGACGAAATGTAAAGAACTTTCCTAGGAACCATATTTGCAAAAATAACTGATTGCAAGTGTCCTATATACATCAAGAGTTTTAAACCTGGTCTCTATATGGACGACAGCATATAGGGTCCGGGAAGCAAAGCCTTAGGAGTCTGACCTGTTGGGCTGCAGGGATCTCTTTGCTGGGAGATACAGCTGGACACTGTTTTTAAAAAGTATTTTCGGGGATGAGGGGGAAGAGAAAGAGACGCTTGCCGCCTAATGCGAATGGAAGAGAATCGAACCCAGAGAGCGCTCTGACACACTTGCCGTTTGGCAGGAGGCGAGGAAGGGCTAGGGCACCGCGGCTTTCCCTAGTCTAGCGTGGCCACAGCCTGGAGGACCGGCCGGCTCTGGGCTCTGCTCGGCTTCCCCGCGCTCTGGATTCCCCGAGGCTGCCGGGTGAGCTGGAAACCCGCAGCTGCTGGAGAAGAGAGGGAGAGAGGCCCCGAGTGGAGGAGGCACCCCGAGCCCGGCGACAGGCGCCCCTTTGCCTCTGGTGCTCGTTTGACCCGTTTCGTCAGCTCTGCTATCCGGGTAACCCACCTTCCCAGGGCCTGCAGAGAGAGAGCCGTTTGAAGCTCTACAAATTGACTCAGGTGTCTGCGGAGACTTCCCTCCTTCAAAGAAAAGCTCGTTTCTACCCTTCCCAGCTCTCCAACACCATGCCTCTGCTTGGCGGTGGAAAACTGCTGTTCAGAGATGTCGCAACACTGAGTGGGAGACTCTTGGTTCCGAAGCTGGGAACCGAACATACATCCTCCGAGAGCTGGGCACGTCTTTGCCTTGCCAGAGGCCGCCTCCGGACCGGAAACCTGGAGAGCGGGCATGGGAGAATACCAGGGACCGCCGGGAGAGAGATGCTGCCTGATCTCTCACTTACGCACCAATACTGGCCAGAGGCTTCAGGCACTCTTGAGCGAGCGGCGATCCCCCAGCGTGACTCCCTCGGCAAAGACAGCCTCCCCCTACCGGGTGGGATGACCCGGCAGCCCCTGCGGGAACAGGCCGAAGAGAAATCCTCCTCGGGCGCCGAAGGGCGGGTGCGGGGGAGGGGACCTGGGGAGAGGCGGGAAAAGGCGAGACGGGACGGAAGGCACTATCATTCCCCACCCAAACCCCCACCCACCCCCACCCGCCTCGGAGGGCAGCAAGTGGGCCTCGATGGTTGCTGGAAGCCACAATTAAAATGGCGATCTGTGAATTGTCTCAGTTTTGCGCACACCTCTGGCCCTGGTGCCCTGCACCTCCGTCACAGCCCCCTAAACGGCGGCGTCGTCCCCAGAATAGGCACTTGTCAGAGGGCGTGAGGTGACCCAAGAGGTAGAACAGCACCTCTACCCTCCTTGAGACTCGCCTAGAGAAAACAGGAAATCTCACTCTCCACTCCTTAAACTTTGAAAGCTCTGCCTCCCTCCAGGCTGAGCTCTCCCACCCCTATCCACTAAATATTGACACATTGGAAGCAGCCAAGTCCTTTTTGTTTCTTGTTTGTGCAGAGTGGTTTTCAAGAGTTCTTCTCTGAGCCCCCACCCCCACCAATGACGTCAGTGGCATTCACTCTCGGCTACTCGCCTCTTATGATTTTTTGTTGTTAAAACTTTTTCTCCAAGGTGAGGTGGGGGTGGCGAGGGTGGGAGGGGTGGGAGAGAGAACTGATTCAAAGAGCCAGTGCCCTGGGGGAAAATAGCAACAAGATTACGGCTGCTTCTTTCCGAGGCAAAGCTTAAGAAGGTGCTAATCCACTGGGTCGCTAATTGAGAGGTTGTAAAAATGATATTTGCCTCCAATTCGGACAGTCTCTGGGGTTTTTTCCCCTACTTCACTGTTGCCCTGTGGACTTGAGCCCGAACTTCTTTAATAATTATTTGAGAAGTAAAAGGAGAGAGAAAAAGAATGCAGGCTCCCGCCGATCTGGGACCTCCGCCCGGTGCCCACTTCCTGGGCTCCTCTGAAAGTCGCGGTCCTACGAAGTCTCGCAAAGGAGGCCGCCGACCCAACAGCGGACGCCGTCTTCTTAGCCACTGTGGTTGGGTTTTCTTCGGACGCTGAGTGCTCCTGGGCTGCAGGAAGGGCCATACCCAGGCGGAGATGGTGGTCGGGTTGTGCTATTCCAACCCTGGACCGGGCAAGGGAGGCTTCCGTTTCCAAGCTCCCGCCCCCGCCACCCCAGCTCTGCCCAGCTTCTTGGCCGAGGCCGGGTCGGGTTGGGGGCGAGAGTGTGAGGCCCACACTAGGCCCGGAGGCCCAAGGCAGCATGCTCCCAGCTCCCAGGGATGGATTCCACGCCAAGAGTTGAGTTCTGCTTGCACAGACTTTACTGATAAGCTCTGACTTTCAGCATTTCTCATAAGTCGAGGAGTCAAGTATACAGAGAGGTGGCTTCCTCTCAGCCTGCCTGCCTCAGTTCTTTCAACCCCATTCTCCTTTGCCAGTTCCTGGTGTATATCCCCCATCCCAAACCTTCCCCTTTCCTTGCGTCATGGCCTGCAAGCTCCGAGAGAGCCCAGCACTTCGCAAGACTAAGCAGGCGCTCCCTCCCCTGTCACCTTAACTGCGGGCACCGAGGGGCGCCTTTGGAGTGTACTGAGGTGTGTCCTAATCGTCAGGCATTCAACAAATGGACTTCTGGTGTGTGGTCAGAAGAGAAAAGCCATTTACTTACTTTCCTCCCCGGTTTTCTGGCAACAGTTGAAGGGGAGCTGCCTCCGTGGACTGAGTAGACCCGAGAGAGGGAATCGTGGTGCGGAATCCCACGCATCACACAAGATAACGGGTGGCACACAAGGATACACCGCTGACACGCCGATATCGCTGGCCAGCTCGGCGGCTCCCGCGCGCGAACACACGCGCGCGCACACACATACACACACACACACACAGACTCTCTCCCAGTGTTGGCCGTCTCCCTCCACCCCAGGCCTTCACCTCCCCTCATCTCCCCCTCGAGTCCCCTCCTCTTGGGCCCCTGGAAAAACAGCCTCACTTAGTCAACAAATGGCACGTGGGAGAAGTTGGTGAGTGTTTGGTGAGGACTCTTCAGGGCTTTTCACAAGAATCCTCTGTACACAAACTAAGTGGCCGTGTTTGCTCGGGCCTCTCCAGTCCCGGCTGTGCCTCCGCTCCACTGCGCACCACGCCTTCCGAAAGGAGAAAGGACAGAAGAAAGGGCCCTGGGGGGCGAGAATGGGGGAATGAGCAGGCCCGGGAGGCCTGGACTGCGAAGGCCGCCCGGCCTCGCCGAGTTCCCAGCCAGGCGGCCTTCTCTCGGCCTAATCTTCGCCTCGGCCTTCGCGGGAGTGTGCCTGCCAGGACCCAGTGCCGCTCACGCACCCTTTCTCTTCTTTCTGGAGGCCAGGTGGGCTAGGACTCGGCCACTGCTATGCTGTGCGTCCCAGCGCCCTGGCGGAGATTGGGTAGGGGCGGGGGGGTGGGGTGGGCGGAGGCGGGGCGGCAGGCCATGTTGCGCTGGAGTTGGCAAGAAAGGGCCGCGCAGAGCTACAGAAACTTGCTTTCTCCAAGAGCTGGGAGTCCCGCGCCCAGCTTAAAGAGGTGGGGGCCGCGACCCCCAGCCCAGAGCCTTCACTCGAATCCTCAAGTTCGCGGCCACGGTGCGGGCAATGCAGATTCCCAGAGCGCTGGGAGCGTAGGGATGTTGCGAGCGCCAGCCCCAGAACCCAGGCGCGGGGGCCCAGCACCGGGGAGAAAAGCCGGGACCCACCGGCGGAGCCGAAAACAAGTGTATTCATATTCAAACAAACGGACCAATTGCACCAGGCAGGGAGAGGGAGCATCCAATCGGCTGGCGCGAGGCCCCGGCGCTGCTTTGCATAAAGCAATATTTTGTGTGGGAGCGATCGGTGCATTTGCATGTTGCGGAGTGATTAGTGGGTTTGAAAAGCGAACCGTGGCTCGGCCTCATTTCCCGCTCTGGTTCAGGCGCAGGAGGAAGTGTTTTGCTGGAGGATGATGACAGAGGTCAGGCTTCGCTAATGGGCCAGTGAGGAGCGGTGGAGGCGAGGCCGGGCGCCGGCACACACACATTAACACACTTGAGCCATCACCAATCAGCATAGGTGTGCTGGCTGCAGCCACTTCCCTCACCCACACTCTTTATCTCTCACTCTCCAGCCGCTGACAGCCCATTTTATTGTCAATCTCTGTCTCCTTCCCAGGGATCTAAGAATTGCTCTCACAAACCAAACCAGCAGCGTCCGTGGAGAAAACTCTCGCCAGCAACTCCTTTAAAACACCGTCATTTCAAACCCTTGTGGTCTTTAAGCAACAACAACAGCGAAATAACCCCAACCAAACAAAACTCTTGACAGCAGCTTTGACGAGAGAGGATGCCTCATAAAGGTGAGTAGGATTCTTTCTTCTCGCTTCATTTTTATTGCAATATTCAGGCAGGTCTCCCCTTCCTCCCCCCTTCCTTACTCCCCCTCGCCGGTCCCCTCCCCCACTGCGACGCCGGGAGAGTTGGGCTGGAGAAGTTTCCACGCAGGAGCCCAAACTTTCTACTTCCAGCGAAAGCCCGCGTCAGAGGGCGACCGCCAGCGAGCGGGAGCGGCGCCGGGCTCGGGGCCGGCGGCCGGCTTCACCCCAGCGCCAGTGCGGGCTGAGCTCGCTGGAAGAACCGAGGCTCCAGGCGCCGCAGCCGCCACGGCTCCCGGCCCCAGCGTCGCCAAATGCTCCCGGCCCGCGGGAGAGGACGAAGAGGCTCTGCGGTGCCGCAGGCCCGGGCACGGCTGCAGAGACGGACCACCGCCGGCCGCTTTGTCCAGCCGCGGGCCCAGCGAGCGCGCAGGGAGCGGGCGCGCCGAGCGAGCGCCGAAGGAGCCGGCTTGCCGCGCCGCCCGCCCTCCGGCTTTGTGCGGCGCTTGCCGGAGCACCAAGGAGTCCGCTGGCACTCGAGCGCCGAGGGCCACCTCGCCCGCCGCCAGCCGGAGCAGTCAGTCGGCAAGGCAGCCCCACGCCGGAGGCGGAGAGAAAGAGCGAGGGAGCATGAGCCGGGAAGGAAGCCGCCAGGCAGGCCGAGGCGGTCGAACGCGCGCTCCGTGGGAGCTCAGAGCCGAGCGGGAGGATTGTCAGCTTCCATCAAGCCCCCAGGCTCTAGCCCCCAACTTGAGCGCAGAGCTTGGAACTTGAAAACTCTGCTCCCCAGGCTTCCCCCAACCTTGGCCTTCGCCCAGCGAAAGCTGGGGTCCTCCCCGTCCTCCGGCCCCCGGCGCTCGGTGGATACTTTTACTTGTCTTCCTCTGACAAAGCTGCACTCGGTGTTGCCATTTCAACAAGTTTCAAGGTGGAAAGGTGGATTTTTTTTTTTCAGTCTAAAGGTCCTGATTTTTTTCTTTGTGAGGCCTTTGGAAATTCGACATGAAAGCATTGGTTTCCCCTTGGTCTGATCACATCCTCTCCCAGCTAATTAGTCTGAGTAATTTGAGAGCTTTTCGATTAAGACCCCGGGAGGAAAAGTGTCTTTTCAAAGTTCATAAAGTTGTTGCCTCTTTCCTTGTGCAGATTTTCTCAGTCTCTCTGCACCATAATAGCCCTGAATTTTAGCAAGTGTAATTGGGAGGAAATGGAGTTGAATTTCAAGTGGAAATGCTTTCTTTTTCAAGTGCTAAAACCCGGCCTTCTACCATGAATGATTTCTAGAAAGTTTAAAAACAAAGTGAACGATGGTTTCTTTTTTTTTTTTTTTTCTAATTTGATCCAAAGCTCCCTAAGCCATATTGGACGTTTAACTCGAACTTGGGAAGATCTGAGGAGGGGCAGGAGCAGAAAATGAAATGGAAAGCAAAGAGATTGAAAGCCTAGCGAATTTACGGAGGAGAAATAATAGTTGTTGCATTGACATTACATTTTTTATAGCCGGTGACCTTTGCAAATGTCTAAAGGCAGTTTGATTAGTTGTTACCTTATTTGGCCCTAGAGAGTAAAACTTTGTCATCTTAATTGGTAATTACTCTCTGGCTGGGGGCCGGGAGGGCCGAAAGTGAGCTCTCTCCTTCACCCTAGCTAAGAAGTTTGGAGATGAATTTTGAGAATTAAGTCATTAAAACAACAAGAGCATTTAGAAGCTAAGGCTTGGGTCAGGGATAAGGGAGGCAGGAGCCCAGTGGCCTAGTGGACCAAGGGCCGGATGGCTCTGAGGTGTCTGGAGACTCCTTCCTTTCTGGAGTGGATCTCTGACCTGGCTAAGGCCATAGGATGCCAGGGGCTGAGCTGGGGGGCTTTGGCTGTGGCTGAGTCGTGGGGGGGGGGTGTCTAACCTCCCAGTGCATGACTGCTTCCGGGTGTTGAGTGCCCGGCTCCCGGGTTGCTTTTGCACTAAGTGTTAACGATTACTTAAGTAATTAGATAGCTTCTTAGCCGAGAGGGGGGTGGGAAAGGAGTAGAACCGGAATTTGAAATGCTTCCACCTTGCAGCTGCTTCGAAAACTAATCGGCTAGGCCTCTCTTGAATCAGCTAGTGGATTTTAAAAAATGGTTCCAAGAACGTACCGGCTGAGATGGGGGCATTTGGTTGCAATTGAGTACAGTATGGGTCACAGTATGGGCTTAGGAAGTTTTAGCCTTCTAGGGGAATTCCACTCTCCCTTTCCCCACCTGCTACTATCTGCAGTTTCAGAATCCCACCTTGTGGAGGGGGCATTCTGTGCAAAGTTGGGTTTTCTGCCTTTCCTGGGTGTGACTGTGGTCTTGGGGACTGAGAAACAGGAGGGAGGCCTTGGAAGTCAACTCAGCTAAGGGTAACTAGTTAGCCCTCTGTCGTTGCCAATATTTGCCAACCTGCATTGAGCAGCTGGGAAAAAGTCCTCCTTTTAAGTTTATCTTTATGGATTTAAGCTGTTTCCCAGCTAGTTAATAAATTCGACCATTAATGGCCTTGAAGAGAAAAAAAATGTGCTCTTGGAATTCTTTGCTTGCAGGCAGGCAAAATTAATAATCGTAATAGGCAGAAGAGGAAAAAGAAAGAATATTTTAGGTTTTTTTCTAAACAGGGAGAAATGATGCTGTGACTATTTAATTATTTTACCTCTTTTTTTTTGCAAACCTTTTGAATGGGTTCTTTATTGTAATTCTCTCTTCCCAATTGAGCTCCCCACGGTGCCGTTGTATCTTTTTACAGCCCCTAACAACTCACACCAGTAACACAATTACCTCCAGATATTTATAACAAGAAATTACTTTTCTATCCCCCCCAACCTTCTTCTTAGGGGAAGACAGGGAGGGGGTGGTGGAGGAGGTGGTAACCTTGCGGACTAGCACTGGGTCAGGACTTACAAAGCAAAAAAGTGTCCCTCTGTTCCCTTTGTGAGTTGGTGGGTTGTTGGTACCTTTGGTTGGAAGCTGTGTAGCTGGTGAGGGAGACTTGGTTTTGCTCTTTGGGTTTGGGGAGAGCTGGAGAATAGAAGCCATTGTTCGCTGTCTGCAGGCTTTGTCGACCACGCTCACCCCCTCCTGTTTGTACTTTTTAAAGCAGTGAGGCAAGCTAGACAGCGTGTGTCACAGTACAGTAAAAAGGGGGAAGATCTAAACACCAAAAGAGAAGTTAATCACAATAAGTGAGGTTTGGGGGAAAAAGTTGGGCTTGCCACTTGCAAAGTCCCAGAAAGTCTGGGAGGTGGGTGGAGATGGGGCCTGACTGGTAAGCTCTGATGGGGAGAGTGAAGGATAAGGAGTAACCAGAGAGTTGGGTTCTGGGGAGCTTGGGGCAAACAGGGTGGTAAAATTCTTTAAGGAAAGAGGGAGTAATGGCTCTTAAGCCCTCTCAGTCAGCCTCAGCCTCAGCCTGCACCCTCAGGCACCCTGAAGTTCCAAGGTCCCCTTTCCCTCACCTCTAAACTTCAGGTATTATTCCTTTTTCCCTCCAGCTCTTAGTCTGTACTCAGTAGCCCCACTGTCTCTCTTGTTCTCCCCCTTTCCTTTCCCTGGTTCTTGATTTTTTTTTTCAAAATGGGGCCCCAACTTGTCAGATTCTCCAAACCTCCCAAGCCAGGCCAGAGCAGCTACTTCCAAAAGGTGGGGACTTGTGCAGAATAGGCTGCTGTGGGTGTAACTCTGGGATTTAGGATTTTATGGAATTTGAGCCCTTGATGCATTTGTTTTTCTTTCTGAGAATATGGATTAGAGAGCCCATGGGCCTACACTTTTGAGCCACAGTTTCATATACATTTCTCTCCTTCTGTTTTGTCTTAGGGGGAAGACTTTAACTAGGGGTGCGCAGATGTGTGAGACCTTTTATTGTGAGAGTGGACAGACATCCCAGATTTCAGGCAAGTTCTACATTGGCTGCTTTGGGCTCCAAAACCTGAAAGAGTCAGAATGCTTCTTCATTCTTGTTCAGTTGGAAGAAAAATTTCAAAATCGGGTCACTGATTCTCCTGATTAAAGGGTTAACTACTAAGTGGTTTGAGGAAAACAGATTGAGAGTACTGGAGTATTTGTAGTCCAAAGAGTAGGCTGCATGCAATGGAGGGCAGAACTGGATGACCCTCACATTGCCCTAAGCGACTGAGTGGATCATTTCCTTAAAGAAGGGGCTTTCTTCTGTCCTGGCTCCAGGTCATCCTCTGTCGGGATGTAGGCTTACCTGGAGTGCACCCAGGATTAATGCCTATATTCTTGCTAGCAGAGCCCCATATTCGAACCCCGTGGGATCCTGCGGCCCCCAGCCAGCGCCAAGATGCAGAACAGTAAGTGCCTCCGGTATTTCTCGGACTTTGGACTTTGGGCTGGGGACGCACAGACCCGTGGGTAAAGGGAGGGCACAGAGGTTCACGGCGTCAGCGCTGGCCAGGCCGCCCTGCTTGAGGGAAGAGGCCCAGGGACCCGAGGCAGCTGCACCCCTTTCTGCGCCGGCAACCCAAGAGGGGAGGGTGTTTGCTCTGTTCTCCCTCCTGGAAGAACAGGGGCTGGGCCCTTTAGAACAGCCCGCAAGAGTTTGCGAAGCTGCGGTAGAGAAACCCCATCCCCCCAAATCCTGTAACTCACACCCCCTCCCCGCCCCTGCCCGGGCTCTGACCCCAGAGAGAGGGGCTGGGCTGAGCAGGGCGGGGCGGAGGCTTCTCCTAGTTGCACGAGAAGGAGGCCCCTTTGGGCTTAGCCAAGACTGAATGTCTCTACCGTCTGGGTGGGGTGGGGGCTCTCCTCCCTCAGTCACTCTCAGGGCAGCTCCTCCCCTCCTCACTCCGGATAGGGGCCTGGAAGGCTAGGGGAGCAGGGCGCCCAGGCCTGCAGTGAGGTGGAAGTGGTACACTTGAATCATAGGGCTGTTACAGGGCGCCTGCCAGAGCAGGTTTACTGTGTGTGGGAACAGAATGGGGGTCGAGCCAAGGAGTTGGAGAAGCCCTGCCCTGGTAGTTGCAACGGTTTGGGTCCTGGTCATTCCAGGCCCACAGTGTCTTTGATTCCCCAGCTTTTGTGACTCCCATCCTACCTCTGCCCACCCGACTCGGGCCCCTGGCCCACCTTCCTGCTTGGCCGGTTCATGGGTACCAGTACGGGGCACGGCATGTCTGGAGCCTGGGTCTGGGAGCCTGGAGGCCAGTGAAACTAGGCCCTGGTTGAGGTGTGCAGTCTGGATGCCGTTTAGGGCTCAGCTCTAAGGAATGCAGAAAGGCCTAAGTCTTCTAGCAACCCTCCCTCACCGAACTGCAGATGGTGGAGGGTCCGAAGCACCCAAATCCATCTGTCCTGGAAACGCTAGCCACCCCCTGGTGCTTTTGCAGCTGGTGGGTGTGGAGCACAGGAGAGGAAGCAAAGGTGGTGAACTTTAAGGCAGCTTAGTTGTGCAAAACCCGACAGGCCCTGGGGCTTGGCTCCAAGGCGAGGCTTAGGATTCTGTCCACCCTTCCTGACTGCTGGGTTCTCCCCCTACAGCTCAGTGTCCCCAGCCGCTGGCTCTCAGGCTGGCCAGGCTGGGGTGCATGGCGCTGAGCGTTTGCCACTGCGGCCTGGCAGGCGGGCCCCAAGGGGCGCGGGGTCGCAGGCAGGCCTGCAGGGCTTTGTGCTGCTCACTCCCGGGTGTGCGAGAGGCCCAGAGCATCCAAATTGACACCATATGTTTTCCTATTAGATGCTTCGCGGTTGAATTCTAGGCGCATAATCATCGCCACTGGGCGAGAGCGCCAGCCATCCCTAGGGAAGGGACACAATGATTGAGGCTTAACCTCTGAAGGGGAACTTAGAGCTGCGCTTCCTCGCTGCCATTTCGATGCTGGCAGAGGCTATCTGGCCCTGGGCAGCACCCGCCGGCGCTGGGGAGGTGGTGGAACATCGCTTTTTTACTGGGGGGAGAAGGAGGGAGGTCTAGGATTAGGTGGCCTCACATGCCTTGGCATTCCTAGATTGGGAGCTGCCTAGGCTGTGCATGAAGTTTGGAAAGTCTCAGTCTCTGTGAGACAGCCTATTTCCTGGAAGACTCTTTGCCCAAGGGGGAGGCCCCTTAGCTGGAGCAATAGAAGGGTCTTTCGAGGCAAAGGAAGGCTATGAAATGAATTTAGGAGAAACTGGAAGCTCGGAGTAGGCCTTGCTCTGTTGGAGAAGCGGTGTCCCGGCGATGTCCCTTCTCACGCTGGGCCCGGCCGGAGCCCAGATCCCCCTAATGCCTGTCACTTCTCATCGAGTTGAGGCTCCAGCACCCGCCTTAGTCAGACGCCCCCCCTCACCTCTGCCCCAAGCCTTCGGCTACCCTGAAAACACGGCTCCCCTCGAAGGGGAAACGAGTGCAGTTCAATCTCGTCTGAGTGATCTACAAATAGGGACGGAAAGGGTCGTTTTATCACGGTCCCGTTTGTCGTGACGATGCAATTTCCCGGAGCGGAGCACTGTCACAAAGTGACAAGGCTGCCACAAGCGCCCCGACTGATCTTTTCAATTAGCCTTCCATGCATGATCCAGAGCGACTTCCGCCTATTTCCAGAAATTAAGCTCAAACTTGACGTGCAGCTAGTTTTATTTTAAAGACAAATGTCAGAGAGGCTCATCATATTTTCCCCCCTCTTCTATATTTGGAGCTTATTTATTGCTAAGAAGCTCAGACTCCTGGAGTCAATTTATCAGAGGCTCCAAGGAGAAGAGAGGAGAGGAGAAGAGAGGAGAGCTGAGCGGAGGGCGACGTCTTCTCCTGGAAGGGCTGCTCTCTAGAGTCGGGGCTGCAGGTTGGAGATTTTTAAGGAAGTGGAAATCGGCAATTGGCTTTATTTGTGCGGCTGTGGTTTCTGGGGAAGGGGCTACAGAGAGGCATTAACTCCCTCTCCCTATTACCTAAGATTAGACAATGGGGTGAGGTTGTGAGATAACAAGATAAAGGAGGGATAGGGGACTCTGGGGTGTGGTCTTTTCGTTTTCTTTTCACTTTTTTATTTTTGCTAATATGAGTCCCTGGCCGTGGGGAGGGCCGTGTTTAGCAGCGGAAGTAAAGCGAGCTGTGGCAGTGCTAATAGACTCCCAGCTCTCCGCCCCACTGCAGCAGGCTGACTACTTTGTGGTTGGAGCCGATCAGGGGCTCTGGCCCCCAAGCCTACAGTGGAGGTGCTGAAACCCAGGTTAGGGGACACTAGCCACAGATTTGCTGTTCTGGTTCTTCCCTAATTCTTTCCCTTTTCTCCTCCATTTTTTTTTAACCCATGCTTGTGTAGTGCCTTCGTCAGAGTTCAGAGTTTGACAGCAACCATTTCTGGACTCTAGCGTACGAGGGAGTGTTGAAGAGCTGTAGGATTTGCTAGCACAGTTCTAACAATGCAGACACGTTGGAGATTCAATGTGGGTTCCGTAGAACCCACGCTTTGCCGTGACACTCAGAGGAAGTCTTTGGGAGGATATTTTTGAGCCGATTGTTTGCACCTTGCGGGTTCAGAGGCTGACTGGGGTGTTTATGAAGGGCAGCGGAGGGCTGGGGACTCGGCTGGAGTGAAGGCGATAGTGAGGTGCGTGTGTTCTTGCTCATTGGCTTGTGTCTGCACGGCGCTTCTGCAGTCTGGTGGGCAGGAGCTCGGCTGTGTTTGGGCTGGGCTGCTCGTTGCCCCGCATGACTGCGAGGTCCTGTTGTCGTTTTTGATCGATAGCAGGGACCTGATGGCAGAGGTTGGCTGGGGTTGGCAGGGAGCTCAGGATGCATTGTGGTTGTCTTCTCTTCTTTCTCCTCCTCCTCCTCTTTCTTCTCCTTCTCCTCCTGCCTCTTCCTCCTCCTCCCTCATCCTCTTTCTCTGTACTCGTCTTCCTCTCGTCTCCTCTCTGCTCTGCTCTCCTCTCCCTTTCCTCAGGTCACAGCGGAGTGAATCAGCTCGGTGGTGTCTTTGTCAACGGGCGGCCACTGCCGGACTCCACCCGGCAGAAGATCGTAGAGCTAGCTCACAGCGGGGCCCGGCCGTGCGACATTTCCCGAATTCTGCAGGTGATCCTCCCGGCGCCGCCCCACTCGCCGCCCCCGCGGCCCTCCACTCTCAACGCCCTCTCTTCATTTCTTACTGTAAACGCTGCTAATTATGGACCCCCCACCCTCACCCCCTACTCCAGTCCCCACCCCACTCCCCTGCCTTCCGCTTTCCCCTTTCCTTCCACCATCCTTCCCGATCTCTTTCAACCTGGGTCAGTCACATAAGATAATTCATCTGCTTAAGAAAAAAATTGTGTGTGTGAATTTAAAAAACCCCCCACAACTTTCTCTTTTTGTTTGGTGAAAACATTCATTGTGGTAACAGTTTACGAATGATAATAAAGTGAGTTATACAAACCAGCATAATTTCATTCCCCGCTCCCTCATCCCATGCTTACCTCAGAGTCTGAGATATTTGTTTGATTTCTTCATATTCATGAAGAATATATATTGATTAAAAAAGACAAATGCTGTTTGCTTCCCTCCCTGTTCACATTTACTCAATTGGGCATATTTTTAAAGGAAAAATAAGAATTCAGTTTATTTCCCCCCTTTGCTCATTAAAGCATAACACCACTTTAAACAAGGTCAGAACAAAAAATTTAATCTGACTTCATTTTGATGCATCTTCAGGCAGTGTTTATTTTCAAAAACAGTTTTACAAACTTTTAAATTAGTTTTTTTTAGTTCAAACTGTTTGAAAGTATCATCATATTTGTAGTTTTTAGGGCTACAAATGTAATTTTAAGAAAAAAACTCTCTACAGTAAGTTCTCATACCATTGAAGGTATATTTTTGTGTTATAGACCCATGCAGATGCAAAAGTCCAAGTGCTGGACAATCAAAACGTAAGCTTGTCATTGTTTAATGCATACTTAAACAATTTTATTTTTGTCTTGAAATTATTAATAATGTGGTTTTCTGTCCACTTCCCCTATGCAGGTGTCCAACGGATGTGTGAGTAAAATTCTGGGCAGGTATTACGAGACTGGCTCCATCAGACCCAGGGCAATCGGTGGTAGTAAACCGAGAGTAGCGACTCCAGAAGTTGTAAGCAAAATAGCCCAGTATAAGCGGGAGTGCCCGTCCATCTTTGCTTGGGAAATCCGAGACAGATTACTGTCCGAGGGGGTCTGTACCAACGATAACATACCAAGTGTAAGTTCACTGAGAACATTCTCCCTCCCTGCCCTAAGCTCCACGCTCTTTCCTCTATACCATCTCTTTCCTTTACCCCCCCCCCCCCCCGCTGTCCTCCTCCCGTCCTTCTCTCTCTCCTCC